CCCCATTCCCCTGTTTGAGTCTCTCCCTGTGTCTTTTACCTAGCTTAGTATTTTCCACTCCTGTTAACAAAGTACCGATCCGAGATCAGCTGACCTGAGGCCACTTTCCGCAGTCCTTATTGGCCAAACTCGGCAATGTACTTGACAGGGGAAAATCTATTTCCTTGTTTCAGTCCTCGTACTTCTCCGTGTACTTAGTGACTGGTAACATTGAAAGTGACTATGATTCCACGTATCAGTGAGGATTGGCCGGCGTTGCAGATCACCGACAAGCAAGCCTCCAAAACTCAGGAGGATAGTGTGTAGTTTAGATCTCGTATAGTAAGCACATGTGAATAGGTCGACTCAAAACAGATCTAAAAGGAAGACCTGACACACATGCACACACGCGCGTATCTCATATCAGAGTTTACCTAATGGTTGGTCGCGGCAACAAGTCCTGGTGTGACCACCGGACGAATGGATCCGAGGGAAGTTGGGTCCGCGGGAGGGGTGGATTGCTTACGCTAGACAGACGATCTTCATCATTCATTGTCAGGATAAGACACATCAGCGCGTTAGCAAGATCCACCCGTTCATTCACAATATTGGTGGTGGAAATCGATAAAATGAGATATCAGGTAAGACTAGTCCACCATTAAGTAACTCAACGTTTCATCAAGATGGATTTCCCCGTCCCATAGGACTGTATCTAGCATTTCTTTTTTCTGCTCGGCGGAGTGTCTCTAATTTACCATCCCTCGGGGAATTTAGGAATATTTTCCACTGATGGATTTATCCAATTCAATGAAAGCTTTTTGCGAGCTTATTACGCCATTCACTTTGTAGCTGTAAATCACGGACATCCAAGTATACCAGAACATGCTTAAATATACCATTTCAAACCAGGTTACTACAATCTTGTTTGTCGTGCTTCCCAACTGCATTCTTTCATTTGAGGATGCAGCAGTGTACCCAGCGTACATGATCTAGATCGACAACGTGTCCATATGCTTTTTCAAGCCTGAAAACCGTATTCATTGCTCCTGTGACCACTGAAATTAGTTGGACACGAACATCTTGTTACCCTTATATATTTGCAGTGCACTACTCATAAGGTTGCTGAAAACTCCTCGACCGGTTTTGCCCTTCTTGGGGCTCATCAGGTAGATGCATTCCCCAAGTTTCCATCATTCTTATGTTCTACTTGAAACCAAACTGCAAGAAATTAGCAAAATAAACTCATTTGCAAACTAATTTGGTTTTACGAGAGACTCACCTGGAACCCAGCTGAATCTCTCGGTTTTGATGTTTCCTTGTTACTTTGTTTCCTCTGTTACCTTGGCTGGTTGTGCTGTGATACGAGTAGATGATACTGAAGTTTCAGGATCTCACGCTTCTTTCTTGAAGACTCGTTCACTGAAGCATCAATTGCCATTAAGGTTCTCCCCATGGTGATGCATTTGCAACTAATAGATAGGATATTGGTGTGAAGGATCGAGTAGGGCTCATTTCAAACTTAAGTGTGCTTAGTTGGCTTTATACCATACCGATTCGGTAGTTGCGGTGTAAATTGAAGTGTAAAGCACAGTTGGACGGCATATGGAGAAGGTACACTGTAGCCCGGGTTGGCAAGATCGACTGATGCTTCAGAACAAGTAATCTAACAGCACACTGACAGGTTTATGAAAGTTGCAGAAAGCCTTCGGCGAAGTGGACAGCTGGAACGACTGACACGTGTGTGTGTGTTAATCTCCGAACTAGCATACAAACCGCCCTTATGTGCATCGATGTTGAGTAGATAACGTAAATTTTCAACGAACAACGTGGCCTCATGAATGAGCAAGTTATCAATCGTTCTTTTGCTCACCAGAATCATTGCTAAGGTCAACGTTGCTCACTTAATGATACACCCATTCGCATCGATCGTTTACTGATGATCAGTGTCTTGTATCGATTCGTTCAATCTAATGGTCGATTTTTTACTTAATGGGCTAGAATTCTGCCAGTTTTTGGACTACGATGCATCAAACAACATAAACCGACTCAGTTCTTTTCTCATGTGAGCAGGCTTCAATAATATCATTTCCTTGAACATTAGCAAACAGATGGCTAACAGGAAACAGTCAAACTTGCTGGAGCCATGGATACCATACTTCATATGTTCATCCGTTGCTGACCTCATTCATTCTGAAGTACTTTCCGCCATCCAGTAACGTGGCAGTTGTCAACAGACTACCCGTTTTGTCTCTTGTTTAAAAAGATTTTTAGCATACCAAATTGGATGAACTGTGAAGGTTGCATGTAAGAAATTCGAACGACATCCTTGCGCATTCAACTGAACACCCTGAATGATCATCGTGATAGGCTATTTGTAAGCGGTTACATCAAGGTGTAATAATCAGGAATAATTTCAAAGTCGAACTTCCAGATAAAACTCTGTCGTAGATGTTAGTATGGGTACTAGACCGAAAACAGTCTCCTGGTCTACGACTGGTGGCACTCACAAAGTGGGGAAATGCGCTATAGGTAGTCCCTCCTCCTCTCCCTCTTCTTCAGAGAGTTTAAGCGATATTCTGGCATGATACTAGCCAACACAGTTGCTCTATATTCGGGTTTCAATGATTCCACATGGACCTGTTTCAGTCTGTCATTCACTAGGGGCTACAAAATAGGGCTGTATTCATGTAACTGATTCGTTCTCCTTCAGAGCACTGTTTATCGGGTGAATGATGACCGTCCTAGCCATTATGTGCGGTTCGGTCAGCTTTTGTGCCGAGACTTCGGTAGCTTTCACCACAATCCGCCCCGACTGACCTAACGGGTGGCAAGACCTGTTTAGCCCGTGGCTGCTACTACAGTAATGTTTAGACCGACACTCCAGCGATATAGTCTAAAGGTTCACATAAGAAAACCCAGTGGTAACAAGAAGGGGAATCCTTACTTCTTATCTTGTTCCAATTGATTTAGTGAGTAGAACAGCGGTTCAAGTGACTGTCAGATATGTGTATCCAGATAAACAGCAGCCGAACGTTAGACTTCTCCCAGCTAGAAAGAGGTTACTGTTTGGAGGTGTCAAAAACACTGTTTTTCAGATCGCAGAGGGATTTTTCTTACCTTACTGAAATCCAACGGTTAACTCCCTCAGGATTTCCGGGCTGTTGATCGCCTTTGTCTTCGAAAGTTCGCAAACTTGATAAATTACCATAAACGCAGTTAAATCAAAGGCACCTTAGCAATTCTGATTTTCATGACCAATACAGCACAAGCTCAAGAATGTTTTCTAGGCTGTTCGAGACCTGTTTAACCCAGTCGAACAGTAGCCTTAAAATCACCTTTATGACAGATTTCTGTCATCCTCACACTGTACTGCGCAATATTAAGCTTGACATCCTTTCTCCCAAGCACTTCGAAATCAACGCCCAAGCATTTTTTTCTTTATCCTGATAGAGCGCTCAAGCTGTTCCTAATTTTTGTAAGCTCAATGAACACCAGTACAAAATAAAACAGAACTCAAGGGCTCAATATACCCGTTCTACAAACCTTGATCCAATTCCATTCTGATCATTCGAAAATGCAAAACGGAAATGTATTGCTCTAACTCACCTTCGCTCTGCCCTAGTGATCGAATGGCTTATACTGAACAAATTTTAGAGCAACGGCTCTGTTGTACAATACATGCATCCCGTGACACGGCGTTTTGTAACTAACAATCTGAGGATGCCAAAACAAGCGTCCTATGATAAGCCTATCGGTCGTTTTAAGGTAAAATAGCACCAAATTGTTCAGTAGATTCAATAAGTAACATCTGAAAATCCGGTCAGTTAAGCAAGCGAGTACTTCGTTTAAAAATAATCTTAAATGTGGACAACTTGTGTTGGTACAGCAAGGTGTGTACGGGTGTACATCGGGTTTATGGACGCTGTTCCGTTCACTGTGCTGGGCGATTTGATTGCAGATCGAGGTGACATCATCGCTGCTTTGTTACTGGGGGCAGTCGAGCGTAGCGACGGCTAGATTCGTGGGCCTTTAGTAGCCCCGTTAAAATCACAACTAATGCACAACCGTCTCTGAGAAATACCGGATATAAGCCATGAGCTTTACGACGCCTGGAGAACGAGATTTTAGGGTATATTTCCACTTTCCTTGGTGGGCTGGTGTCCGTGTTCCACTTTCTTATGAAGTGATAACGAGCTGTGTTGCAGGATTCCATTTGGGTTGTTCTTCAAGCGCTTCCGGGAGTAGGTTGGACGAAAGTACACCCCAGGAATATAGTATCTTTAAAACCGCAGCACTGCTGAATGATAATAAACACAGTACGAAAAGCATCGAGATACTAGCCTGGTAGCTGCAACTTCCAGTGCTCTCCGGTCTTACCCTATGTAGATTACTCAAACAACTGGATGTGCACATTCAACGGAATTAAGTTGACTTTCACTCGGAGTGTGTACATAGAGACGATATCCTCCCCCTCTTATAAACGCCTTGAACACCGCCGTTGCTTCTAACAGACTAAAAACCTGTCTTTTTAAAGGCTGCTTTCGACGACGTTCGCCGTCAGAGGCCATGGCAGTGTATGACGAAAGTGCTCCAAGCGAATCCGACTTCGTAATGCTAGCCCCGACAAACCACCATTTACAGAAGGCTTCGCCTCCGCTTCGACCCTACGGAGATACAAATAGTACTGCGTAACCTTAATACCACGATTTTACAGGCGTTTCACATTCGCCAAGTGCAGTGTAGTTGTTACCGACACAAGTTAAGAACTGCATATGGACGATGTGAGCTACTATAGCCGTTCCAGTGACCTGTTTGAAGATACCCCATTCACAACGCAGGTTCCTGAAACACTACCACCATCACTATCCGACCCAAAACACAAATTTGCGAACCACTGTCTCTGTCCACACCACTAACATAATCAGTGACTGATATTTCGATAGCTAGTACAGTCCGTACAATCTAGAGCTACTGCTTGACGACAGGATTTGGCGCTCCTACGATAAAACGTACATGAAGGAGACGCTTGTTATGACTGCATTTGACGAACTACATTCCACAGAAGACGGCGATATCGAATTCAGTTCAACAAGGTAGTAAATTCGAAACGGCCTGATAGAGGACAAGTCCAAAAGGCTCTGTGGGGGAAGTGCTTCAAGTATCCGCATAGAACGCAACTAATATGAAAGAAAAAAATGATTCAGAGCACCTCCCGCAAAAGCTGAGAATCAAGTGTGGATGAGAAAAGGCTAAATAACGTGGTCGGAATTTCGCTCCCTGGTGATAGGACGGCGTCCGAAAACAAGGAAACAGAAAAAACTATGGAACCGTGTCGAAAACTGACTGAGGTTACACACAACAGACCCCATCCGGCGCCGCCAGACAGGCGTTTTGGAGTTGATTGTCACAAGCTGGTCATCGATCAGTAGTAAAATCCATAGAAATGACCCGATATTATACAAAAGGAAAACAATACAAGGAGAAAATCTGCTGTACAAGCAAACAAAAGTCTCCCAAAGTCTGCCGGATTCAGTCGAAGGGCAAGTGACGACCAATGTGTAGAGGGTAAACACAATATAACCACCAGTAAACAGGAGGCACACGAATAGAAACAGGAAGAATCGGTGCTGGTTTGTGTAAGATACACACTTCATTATAAAAAGGCAGTGGTGATCCATGTTGTTTATACAGCGCTCACACAATTTGCAATGCTTGATCCGAGCAGTGGCTGCGGGCAATGTGCTCAGTTTACAGTGAGGACAATAAAGGTCGATCAGCTGATAAGGTTGGGAGTGGATCAGTTCGGGGTTGTGATCCGAAAGCTGTTTTGTAACCTCCAAAGCTTCTTTCTCGACCAAGTGAAAAATATCAGGGTCGATGGGGGAGAATGGAATGGGCTGCTGGTTCCTGGTGGCGTAGCCCGGATCAGAAAACACTAGACTTATAAATAGAAGCGAAATCACGAAGGGCACAATGAGTAGAAAAACAAAGTAACTGTGGCGGTACCAATATGGATGTTGGGGGGAAGGGTACAAGTGAAAAATAACCAAATGAAGTGTGCTCAGAAATCCGGCAACAAATGCACCCATGAAGAATGGATTCGGCCTATTTGTGCCGTCGGATAGCCGATGACTTTGTCTCGCAAAAACCAGTAAAGATAATGCACCGACAGCGAAGTAGATAAAAGGCGACTGGAACCGAGAGGCAAGTAGGAAGCTTACGAAACTCAAGGTTATTGGAAGAAGAGCAAAACAAACCCACGTGACGGCATAAATATGTAACAACAGTTTCAACGCTAACGTTGCGGAGAATCTACCAACGAGTGTCTGGGCAAGGTACATCAAAGTGGTTAACGCCAAATTAGAATGGAGTCTTTTAGCCAAATCAAATACCGTTTCACCACATTTGTTGCGCATCCCACTCAGAGAGATAGCAGCCAATCCATTTGGTAAGAGCAATGGGACGGTTAGTAGGGACCATACGATATCATGTACTTTAGAGATGGCTCGATTGGGTTTTGCATAAAACCTAAGGGACGAGTGAAAATAGACAATTCATTGGCCATCAATAAGTATGCTGGGAAATGAATGTAGTGTAATGAATGTAAGCACTCAGTATACAAATGATCCACAGCCTACTTGACACTGTACACTCTTTGCAGAGAGCGATTGTCCCCCCTTAAGACTTGCTGAAGCATACAAACTATCTCAAATAATGGGAAAGAACACTCGTTCTCGACTGTCATTCGAAATCGCAGCAGCCAAGGAAACTAGATAGCGCAAGTGAAAATCGAAACATGATGGAAATGGCAAGGCAGCAGGGATTATTCTACCGGCTGGCTACGATTTTCAGCAAACGATGATGGAGATTCTTAAGTTAATTTACTATTCCATAGGATGTTGGAGACATCTGTTGCACTTTCTGTCACTTTTTAAACTTAGATGGTGATTAAAACATCGACTGAGAATTTCCTCTGCTGGTTGTAATCTGTCAGCGCCATTATATTCAACATGCAAGCATCAAATGAGACTTAAATGCTAAGCCATTACGACTTCGCAAAAAGAAACAACTATTTTTGTAAATCTAAGACATTCGGACACGACTGGCCCAGACACATTAACAGCGCTGACACAGATCCAACACATAACAACATATCATAGATAGGTAGTCTGGCTTCAACCATGTCTCACAGGGTTTTCAGCCAAGTACAAAGGCGCGAAGATCCTACTGTGCTCAGTATGGCAGCAGCTATTTCCACGTCATGTTGCCATGACCGCTGCGAAACTTTCGCCAACTGAGATAAGCAATGTAGAACAACGCTCGCTCCGAAAAACAGTTGTAGATACCTCGACGACCACCACGTAATATCTTATTTTCTGCTCTGGAGTGCACGATTACACATAATTACACTGCGAGGTTGCTGTACGTTAGTGAAGCCTCCATATCAGCCATGATGCTATTGCTGTTACCAGTTGAATTCTGTAGTGCCATGAGGACAGTGGTAGTCAAATGTTTAACGCCATTTTAAAACTTTAGACCAGATTAGCCAGGTTTCGAAGTAGGATGGTTTTCTTAATCGAGTGAAATAACTTCTTTCAGGAGGACTAATAACCTTTTCTGAAAGAGAGAAAGCGTTCAGCTGTAGCACCCTTCCGGTGCCTAGCTGCCATGCCACCCGAAGGAAGCACGAGAGCTGGGATACTGCCAGGTTGCCAAAGCCTAGACAGGGGAAGACGAGTGGCAGAGGTCGGATTCGAACCACGGACCTTCCGGTCAGTAAATTCGCGCCCTAACCACTTGGACCATCTCGCCCCATAACCTTTTCTGAACAGCACAATGGAAAGGGAATTGAGTGTAACTTAGAACTGCGCCCGTCAAGCGCATTTTAAATGAAAATAGACAAGACAAGTAATAATGTGTGCAAACCTTCAAGTTCAATATTCACCACCTTCGACAATCAGCAAAACAATCTAGGAAGATGTGCTTCAAGAGAACTGTTTTTTTCAAAGCAACCCTAATGAAAAGACCTATGGGGGCGAGATGGCCGAAGTGGTTAGAGCGCGAATTTACTGACCGGAAGGTCCATGGTTCGAACCCGACCTCTGACTCTCGACTTCTCCTGTCTAGGCTTGGGCAACCTGGCAATATCCCAGCCCTCATGCTTCCTGCGGGTGGTACGGCAGCTAGGCACCGGAAGGGTGCTACAGTTGAACGATTATTATTTTTTACTATTAAAAAGACTTATTAGTGTTGCAATCAGCTTATCGTAGACCAACTTCTTTGCAGTAATGCAAAACCTACTGAGTCATCGATCCTGAACAGGAAGAGGGGCTGACGGCGGTGTGCAAACAAGTATTTCCGCAGTGATCTTGAGATGACAGATCCCATCTCAGCTGACTACCAGATGTTCTTCCGGCACGTAACATATAGCGCAAAGCGTTCGCATTAGCGCGCGAACAGGCAAGATGGAATGGTGTGATCCCATGATTATCCACAGAATCAGGTTGGCCGGCATTTGGAAATTGTAAAAGCCACGCGATCGTTAAGACTTGATCATTTTCGGCCGCATAGTGCATCGCAATGCGTCCCTGAATGGAAAAAAATGTTTGAAAAGCTGAATTTTGGATTTAGTTTAGAAAAAAAGACAAATCCGGACAAAATCATCAAGGCCTCTGAAACTGCGATTGATCGAATTCAAGTGTACTAAACGCAAACACCAAGTTCATTATGACAGCTAAGCTTCTTATGATTATGCACTTATAGTTGGGCGGAATTCCTCGATGAAATCATGCAAACGGAAATTACACTGCATATTTAGTTTAGTGAACTCTAATCATGAACAAAGGTTACTGGAAGAGATGGTTACCACATATCAGCTGCTGCCTGGAACAATCAGATAGCGCTGTACCAAGTGGAGAGGCGCATCACATTTGTTGTCCTGTGTGCTTGAATTGCACCTAAACAACAACGCTTAAGTGATAGGTATCAGTAAAAGTGTAGAAAACATTCGTGCAACAAAAACTCACCTGGCTATCCGCTTGGTTTAAGTTAGCACCACTGAGCATAAGCATGTATAAAATGGCAGTCTGTCCACGACTTGCTGCAATATGTACAGCTGAGATTCCATTATCGGTCAGCACAGATGGACATACACCAACTCGTAAGAGGGAAGCGACTAAAATCGCATCACCACGAAGACACGCCCTGTGTAGCAGACTGTATCCTAGCGAATCTTTTACCGAAAGTTCGGACGAGGACCGTATGAGGAAGTGAAGAGCGCATCGCTTCGGTGGTTCCCTAGTGAACAATTCCCACACATTCAGTTTGTCGGTAGCAGACGCCCAACATCCAGGCTGCTGTATAATTGACATTGGAGTGAAAATCCTAAGAAGCTTGGAATTACATTGTTGGGCATCCAAAGTAACTGAAGAGAGAAAATACAATTACAGTCGAATCCATGGAACTCCGCAATGGCAGCTTAGTTCTGTGAAGCTAGAATGCCTAAGGCGAAGCGATGGAAAGGCGGACAAGAAACAAATGGGGCAGAGAGAGAACATATAGATACCAGGGATCTGTGAAACGCCTAATGAGGAAAAACTGGAGTGATTCGGTTCTATGATCATTGACTGTGACACCTCAAATTGACAAAATGCTCAACGGTTTCATAGGCGTCAATAGGCAGTGAAACGGACAAAAACGGATAAAACGAAGCCACTGGATAATGTGTTTAGGGTCAAATGTTACGAGGAAAAAACTGAATAAAAGAGGTAAGTTAAAAAGCTGAAGAGATGGGATTCCAACGTCATGTGCCAAAGTACACACAGTTTGGAGTGGTAGCTATGATGGTTTGGCGTCCATTAGAATACCAGGCTAAATTAACGTGGTGCTGTAATAGGTGGGTAGCTGATAACGCATTGAACCAGGTGAAGAAAGAGGTTTGCAAGATCCTGGTTTGTAACCTATTAGTTATCAGCAAATTGTAGCATCTGCTTTAGGGGTAAATGCGATCATGCCACACTAGAAGTAAAGGCGAGTATGCCCAACCGACCTATGGAATATAGCTAGTTCTTAGGAAGCTTGCGAGATCACGGACTTGAAACATGCAAAGAAAGAAGAGATCAAAACCAACGTAAAACCAATGTGTTGGATCTATGTGCATCTTTCAAAAGAGTGAGGATCGGAAGTTGTGTCCAATATGTTTGGCAAGAGTAAACGGGTCCAACGAATGCAAGTGTAGGGAATAGGTAAACGTTGCGGAGCTCAACGTTGCTTTCTGCATCAAACCGAACTTGGGAAATAAGGCTTCGAGGCCAAATGGAGTACCCCCATGACACAGTGAACCTGCTTGCGGAGATACTATCTGTGTCGTTTACGGTCTTTAACCACCCCTTGACCTGTGCCTCGATAACTTAAGACTACGAACTAGCGACAGCGGAAGCAACCCATAAAATGGGTGACAGGAGGCTTCTTTTATTACACACTCATTAGTTTAACACCCATCATTTTAGAAGTCACTGGAAGAATCATCCGAGAAAAACTGGTCTACTACTACATCGTTGCAAATCATTTGGAGTGTCAGCATGATTTCATGAAGAAACGTTCTTGTATACTAAGTCTGCCGTTCTGTAGATGGTATCACTGAAGGGTTAGGCACGGCCGAAAAGATTGAGGTTTTCTACCAAGATTTCGACGCGCCTTTGATACGCTTCTCTTTAAAAGTAAATGGCCTGCAAGACGGCCAGTTAATGGTCTGGCTAGCAAAACGAGCGTCTAACAAACAGTTCGCAATCAGATTAAAAAGAAGAAAACCAACTTCCGAGAAGGATACTAAAGGAGTCCCATTGAGCTCTGCGCCCGGACTATTATTGTTTTTGGTGACGATCACTGGGCTGCGCCCCACTGCATTAGCAGATGGTGTAAATATTGTAAGTAGTTTTTGAGAAAAACTTTAGGCGGATGTGCCAGTGAACTGTAGATTTGGAACTGCCACTGAACGTGGCAGATGAACTGAACGTGGGAGATGGCGAAAGACTAGTTCCATTCACTCAGCCAATGGAGCTTCAGTCACGAGTGCAAAGAATGCAACAGAAGTATGAATAAGAGTTACAGCGGATCTCAAACCAGCAAGTCAGCGTGCTGGGATCTGGATTGAAAAAAGAAAAAAGGGTTCAGGTGTAGCACCCTTCCGGTGCCTAGCTGCCATGCCACCCGAAGGAAACACGAGAGATGGGATACTGTCAGGTTGCCCAAGCCTAGACAGGGGAAGTCGAGTGGCGGAAGTCGGATTCGAACCACGGACCTTCCGATCAGTAAATTCGCGCTCTAACCATTTGGGCCATCTCACCCCGTCCGAACTGAAACGAACTGTAACTAGCCGACATGTTGCTAGGCTTCCGCCCCTTTAGGAAATACATCAACTCCATCTGGAAGATGCATCTTATCCTGGGATCCCTACTTCAAGGCGCTCAACTCATTAAAAAAATTCAGCGGCGTCTCACACGTCTCCGTCACAGTGACCAAGAACGAAAACCGGGAGGGTCCAAAATGTTCTGAATAGAAAAGGTTGGTAGGTGACTTAATTGAGACTTTCAAAGTTAGGGCAAACCAAAAGGATGGAAGTATCAGATGCTATGCTGAGAGATCATTCACTCAAACTTAAACCCTTAAGCGAGATTTTTTTCTCTAGCAGTGGTAGGTAGTTGAAGCAGATTACCGGTGGTCTGCTGTGGATGCCACCAGAAATCTGTCGCTGAGCCCGTAGCGAATCCATTTCTATCAGAAGTCCAGTGTTTGGGTGAGGTTGGATGGGTTATACCACATACAGAAGTTCCGGCTTTGAGTAGCGCTTTGGATATCTTTTCCAACTGGCCGTTTATACCTTATACAGGACCGTCCAGCAGGCGTTCGACCAGCTGCTTCTGATGGCTTCGTTTGGTTTTTGGGTCCACTAGCTTCTGATTAAACTAAGCGAGGTGAGCGCGTTTTGCATAGACCTGCGCAATAAAAAGGATCAGAGGGCAAGTGAACTGTCAGAGTCCACTTTGGTATCTCAGAGTTGACAGCAGTTATCGACACAGGCGACCGGTAACTGACGGCGCCCTCACGGAGTCCGGACCTTACCATGGTGGGACGGTCTGTGGGCCTCAGCGACCCCTCGAACTATACTGGGAGATGGACAAATTGTTTAGAGCGTGAATTTACTGACCGGAAGGTTCATGGTTCGACCCCGACCTCTGCCTCTCGACTTCCCCTGTCAGACTTGTGCGACCTGGCAGTATACCAGCCCTCGTGCCTTCTTCGTGCGGCATGGCAGCTAGGCACCGAAAGGGTGTTGCAGCTGAACGGGAGATGTCCATGCGACAATCCCAGAGTCTCTCATACAAGTTTGGCAAATGTTTTGAGGACTGAGCAAAAGCCTCCTGGTCCTTCAGCTTGAGGCTTAGAACATGTGTAGTGACCTGTTTTATAACAAATGGTATTCACTTGTGTTTCAAGCCAAGCACAGCCTAAAGATTTTTTCTTTCACATTGCAATAACGGTATTCTCCTCAGTTTAGTTCCCAGTCTGGTGCTCCCAAGTTAGGGTCAAAAACAACTATCGAAGGTGCACAGCGTATGCCAACGCCCAAATTCATGCCAAAACCACTTGGATAGTGCGTCGTATATATTATATGTGCCGCGACAACAACAAATCAAGGGGTCTCCTGGACGCGGCATTGGCAACCGGCATTCGGCGAATACCGGCTGTTGGGTGCAGAAAGTCGACCAATCAGAGCTGGCCTCGGTGCCGGACCGGCGATTTGACCAATCATATGCTGGATAAGACCTCGGCTGTAGCAGCGCCTATATGCCAGCGCTGAAGTGGCACTCATGTAGAATTTTACCTAACTCACAAACCTGGCGCTCAGTATTCGCACAATTGGATTGAATTTTCGAAAGCTGTGACGTGCCTTGTTAGATTAAATGAGATAGATAATTGAGTTCAGAATACGAGTCCAATCATCTGAGCCCCATCTATGCATCCCGGGGTATCGTCGATGCTAGGAAAGTATTCTACTGAGCTTTTTTAGCTAGAGGTATGATTGCCCCAGTGGACAACAGAATTCGGTGAGCTGCAAAGACATAAACGTAGCCTCGGTGCCGGACCGGCGATTTGACCAATCATATGCTGGATAAGACCTCGGCTGTAGCAGCGCCTATATGCCAGCGCTGAAGTGGCACTCATGTAGAATTTTACCTAACTCACAAACCTGGCGCTCAGTATTCGCACAATTGGATTGAATTTTCGAAAGCTGTGACGTGCCTTGTTAGATTAAATGAGATAGATAATTGAGTTCAGAATACGAGTCCAATCATCTGAGCCCCATCTATGCATCCCGGGGTATCGTCGATGCTAGGAAAGTATTCTACTGAGCTTTTTTAGCTAGAGGTATGATTGCCCCAGTGGACAACAGAATTCGGTGAGCTGCAAAGATATAAACGTAGATTGGGATGGATTTTGGTTTGAGCACATAAGCAACACAATGCAATATTTTGGCGCAAAACGTTTTATTCCAGTCGTAAAGGTTTTGCAGCAACGAGTATTGTGCGGCTAATGGGTACCCACATACTTTCGCTTCCCTCTGTTTCCACCCTAATAATAATTCCTTGTGGGCCCAGCATTGCGGCTTGCCGGCTCCGTTCGTCTTGCATCGTTTTGCAAGGAAGTCTGCGCTTCACCCAGCGCCGGGATTCTCAGGCAGCTCGAACTTTATGTTCAAGCCTCGACGTCCAGTCTATCTGGCCGCCTTCACCGTCCGCATTCTGATGCATGCAGGTCAGTAAGCGTCTCTTGCCCTCAGACTATGCAGGAATTGACGTTTGGAGCATAGTGGTTGAACTAACCACACCGATAGTCGCCGCTCCCTTCCGACTGCGCACTTCTGACGATTCAGAGGCCGCTGAAGCAGGATATGCGGGGTTATATTCGATCTAATTCACCTGGAAGAATGCTACTTGCTCGATTGAATATACACTGACAGTCACCTCTGTGCGGTTCGTCTGGCAACAAATGAGATGGAGTCTCACAAGGGTGAATCATTTTCCGTGTCTTTTTCCGCCCAAAATGACCCAGCTCTGATGTCATCAAAAAGCAAGTTTTATGGCTCACAGAATGCCCTGCTGTATTGAGCTAAAAGCTCCGATATCATTCTGGTTATCGGTCTCCTGAATTCCCAAGCGGCAAGAATATGGCTCGGCAGGAATGGCCTTGGACTATTGGGATGATGGCCAGAGACACAAGAAGTGTAAGCGGAAATGATGAAATTGAGGGATTAGAATGCGAACACAGCAATCTCAGAATCCAAAACTTCTCCTGTGACTCAGCTCTTAGAAGCGTACGACACACTGTGATCACGTCGTTAAAGTAATCAATGCATATCATGAACAATATCCGCCGCTTTTTTAACCTGTGCCATGTCGA